TCCAGGCTTAGAACAAGCGAGTACTTAGTTAAGACGATCTCTTGATTTCTAAATCTCTTGAACAAGGTATTCTCTCGTTACTTCTGTGTCAGCAGTTGAGAAATGGGTACTAAACCGTGGGCTTATAAATAACTGGAACAGCATGCTTTTGTGTGATATAGTCCTGTCAGAATGATTGAAAGTTACATTGCCATATTGTCTGATTTATGGCCATTTTATGGCTGCTGTTCGCTCTCGTCTATTTAATAGCCCACTTTACAGTGTGATAATGATCACGAGTTTTAAAATCCTGTTGTTTGCGTGAAGAAAAGGCAGATTTTTCGAGGAATATGTTAATAAACATACTTATGCACAATTGAGTTACAAACCATTGTGAACTCGTGCTCTTCTTGCAGCCCTTGTAGACTTGCATCGCTCGCATTCGTGTAGGGAAAATGAGAGGAGTGGTACTTGTTTCTTGCGACCATTACCTTGAGCCGTTTGCATAAGCAGAACGTGTTGTGACATCCGTTGTATTCGAAGTTTTTCCGTACTTTAGTAGTTGCACCAAAGGAACAGTTCCTCTCCGAAAACATCTTCCTCTACTTTGTTGCATGTTAATATCTTGGTCGACAAACGTGGATTGTTTTTAGCACTGTAATTTGCCGATGAATCCACATACCTTCTTCAAATGCTGTTAGTTGTGGAAAGGTATTGTGACTATTTTGGAAAAATTGATTTACAGGTCTTGACTCCTGGAACGAGATCTATATGAATGGGAAGACCAAAATGGCACATTGCATGGTTAATTTTGCTAAGATTGTCACCTTGAGGTGTTTGCGTAAGTGCAGCGTATCTGGTTTATTATATCTTTTGTGTTGGCAGTCTTACAACACTTATTACAAGTTAGCAGTTACTGCACTATCCAAGGAAAAGTAGCTCGCCGAGAGGAGACTTTCCTCGACATTGTTTTTCTGTGTTGCATTGTGACCTCCTGTTCGACTACTGCTGTTTTTCATCTCATACGATTAGCTGATGGGTTGAAGTAACTTTATGCACAACCAGGTTGTCTAATAAAGCCCGTCTCCTTTTCTTAGTCTCGACATTTGCTGAAGTCGCCGTACCCGAAAGAGAATAGTCATTCCTTATATGGTCTCGCCATTTAATCGTTGTTATGCGTTGAAGCCAACGTTTCTGCACGTAGTTAAACCGTCGTTCTTTCTCCTTTGTTAGAACAGTTGCCTCCATGCCGTATAGTGATACGGACGGCAAGGTATAGGCGGATTTTCGTGGGTAGAATAACTCATTTCTCAATCAAAATATTTGGCAGGTTTCGAACATCAGTCTACGATAGACTGATTCTCCTGGTTAACTGTGGCTGGGTGGTGCCATTGCCTGAGATTATGGAACCGAAGTACTTAAATTAGTCAACCTCTTTAAGCGCTTCTCCTGCATGTTCCACTCGTAAATCATCTGTGCCGGACAGGTTCCTCATAACTTTCGGGCATTAAGAAAAAGGCTGTCTTGTGCAGTTTTTTCACATGCGGTTGCCGTCAGGTGATAGAACCATCTCTCCGTGCTACTCACTAGAACAATATCATCTGCGTATTCCAGGTTAACAAGATATCCAGTCAGATGTCTTGAACTGCGCATTCCCTCTGGCGACCTTCACTTTTGCCAGTGTCTGCGGCGTTTCAGTGAAGAAAGTCGAGAACAATGTTGAATGGTAGGCGCGAAGGCTCATCTCTCTATTTAACTACAGAGGTCGTAGAACCACTCAGATAGCTCTTTTTCCGCTTCAATGGTACACGTTGTTCTTGCGTACATCTTTTCTTAAATGGACAGGATGTGTTCAGGTATGCCATAGCATTTCAAATATCGTCGGCGATGCAGTGAATCATGCAGCCTTAGAGTCAAGGTAACTGGCAAACCAACGTAACTGCAATCATTAACATTTCTCAGTGGTCCTACATAGAGTGAATAGTTTACCAGGATAGGCCCCAGTAGGAAGCCCACCTGTTCTTGGTGCTGTGTTCCATCAGTTGCATGCCGCAGTCTTTGCAAGATAATCCAGGAAAAGATTTTTCGGGCAGTTGACAGTAGTGTGATTCAACGATAATTGGAACACTGGTCGACCGAGTCCCCTAAATATCGGAGCATTTATTCATTTTCGTTGTCCATGGAAACGTTTGGGTGTTCATATTTGATCAAGTAGGGCATGGAGCTTTTTTATTATTCTCGTACTTAATTCATTCTGGAGAAATTCGATCCACCACGTAGGTCTTCTATACTTTAAGATGTAGCCAGAGTTTTTGGATTTATGGTTTTTTTTGGGGTGAATCTAAACTAACCTGTAATGTTGGCAGAAAATTAGCAGTTGAAAATAATGAATCTGGAGAGCAGCTGTTGGAAGTGCTCAGTCAGTTTTTTGAGGCATTCCATCTGACCTGCCAGGGGACACTCGTAGCATCTTAGATAAGGACGGGCAGAGTACCCTGCTTACAGGACAACTATCGCACCCTTTAAACCCTGTTCGGTACCTCATCTTTCTGGCCGCTTTTTCAGTCTTACTGATTTTCTCCATCAGCCAAAGTTCCATGTCCTGCATGTGACTCTGATTTACTGCGACGAGGAAATGATTGCAGATTGTCTTCGAAAATGCAGAAAGGTATTGCAAGTACTCCTTGTTAATCTTGTAACTCTGCGCTCTAAGAGCTAGGGCCTTCTCCGTAGCAAAACAGTTTTTCTGTCTTTTGCTCGCCTCAGCTACGTTGCTCGCCGAAGAAGTTATTCCTTCTGTGAAATCTTCACGGCTTCATCGTCTTTGCCATTCCTGACTAGGCACTAATAGTGGGCCTAAAATATCTTTTTACTTCCTTTTGATACTCCAGCTTCGCCGCTTCGTCGTGTTTTAGTTTGTCAACATTAAGTAGCTGATATGTTTCAATCATCGATGAGATGCGGCTAATTTTTGATGTCACTATGACCATAAGTTGATCAGACACAAGGCAAGCACCACGCTTGATTCGAATTTCGAGTAACGAGCAGTATTATTTGCAGCTAAGGAGGACGTGGACTCGTGAATTGTTTTGGCTTCTAATGGGGGACGTCCATAGAAGTGGTTTGGCAAGTTCACTTATGACAGAATAGGGTGCTGCATACGATTCCGCTGTGAAACCTGGCAGGCATTTGGCATTATCATTTACACTGTTAATATCCTAACGGTCGAGTACGCCTGACATCTGGCTGCTGCTACAACTAAATATAATCGGTTACACAAGAGTTCTGTTACCGGAAGATTGAAAGCATGAGTTAGTTGGCTGAAGTTCGTTTGCAGGCAAATAGTTCCTCTGAGATCAGATTTCACGGCATATAATACTGTCTGCTTGTTATTGGTAGTTAGCGCATGT